GGGCGAAGGAGCCGACTGCGGTGCCTGGGAGCTGCCTCGGCTGAGGGGCTGCCAGTGGCACGGGCCTCGCGCGTCCGTGGGCTGGGGGGGTTGCAGCAGCCGCTGGCTCCCAGGCCCAGGGGTACGTGATTGCAGCTGCCCCGGTTGAGGGCCTGGGGGGTTGATGCGGAGCGTGGTGCATCCCTACAGCAGGGAGCCTTGCCAGCTACAGGGTGTAAGTTAAAGGCCAGTAGTAACCAGCTGTAAAGTTAGTACACCTTTTCCAGGTCTAACTTCATAGCTGGTTGGAGCTTTTTTTATGCTGTGATCAGTATTTTGCATGTGTAGCTGGTCTGAAGGTAATTGCACAATATCTGTAACTGTAGAGGGGGCCTAATTCTTTATGCTGTGGCCTGCACCCGGCAGTAGGGTTTTCAGTCGGAAGCCATAAACCCAAATTGGGAATAATGACGACAAGTTAACTGCTCCCTCCTTGTCCAGGACAGTCTTTATCTCACCCTTTCCTACCCGAGCTCTTCCATCAAAGCTGTCATCCTCAGGAGCCCCTCAGCGGCTCCTCCGGTCCCTGCTGCAGCGCTCCCTCTTGGCAGCACGGGACCTGCAGCTGAGCGTGAGCAAGGGGCTGGGGCAGTGGGAGCGCAGAGCCTGGAGCCTGCGCCCGGGGGTAGCAGGAGTGTGGAGCTCAGGTAGGCAGGGTGTGGGTGTGTGGGGTTTGTGGCATGTGAGGTGGGGTATGGAAATCCCCCACACTCCCTCTACCCCCTGTGGCGCACAGCCTCTGGTGCTGGTGGCAGCAGCAGGTAGCAGGCCATCAGGGTGGCGCGAGGCTCCAGCCAGTTCTAGGAGCTGTATGGGGTGGCAAGGAGCAGAGACAGGCCAGCCTGCCTGTATTGTGCAGGGCTCCCAACAGTTCACATGCAGCTCCTGGCACTTGCGTGCCACTGGGGGGAAGCCCCGTGTGATGGAGCTGGTGGCCAGGCCCCACTACCTGCTGCCACCTGCAGCTCCTGGGACTATCAGAAGTGGAGGGGAGCCCCACCACCTGTTTCCCCCGATGGAATCCCATTAGCCACATGTGGCGGGAAAGGCAGCCAGCTCCATCACATGGGACTTTCCTCCGATAGTGTGCACATGCCAGGAGCTGCACATTTGCTGTGGGGAGCCTCATGTGATGGAGGCAGGTTGGGCAGCAGCACCTGTGCAGGCCATGAGCACCTTGAGAGCCTGCTGCTGCTACGGACAGGAGCTGTGCACCATGGGGGAGGGGAGTGCGGGGGGAAGGTATTCCCACCTTCCCACCTACCCCACACACCCTGACCCCACAACCCCCCATGTATACACACCCACAACATACCCTACACTCCACCACACACACAGTCACACCCCCTCACAAACCCCACACACCCCCCACTGAGCGCATATTCCCCACATACAATATACAAGAATAAGACTTCATTTTTGAACTATTATACTATCACCTCTATATACAGAATGCAAACGCAAATCGTGAAATATGTTTTAAATAAAGTTAAAATATGTTATAGTAAATTATTGACGTTTAGTATATGATTTGTCTGTGCCCCCCCCCCCCAGGA